GTGGTGCTGGGGGATTGAACCGCGGTCCCTTGTGCTTTGCTAAGCTTGTTCTAAGTAGGTGCTTTAGACCACTGAGCCATCTCACCAGCCCTACAATTCTTATGAAATGTAAATACATTAAAAAGTGAAGGATCTCCCTTTCTTAATAATTTTTAAGGTGCAGGCTGAGCGTCGAGCCACTGAGGAAGAGGAAAACAAAGCCAGTGAGGAATACATACAAAGACTGCTGGCGGAGGAAGAAGAGGAAGAAAGGAGACAGGCAGAAAAAAGGCGAAGCGAGATGGAAGAACAACTGAAAAATGATGAAGAGCTGGCAAGAAAGCTGAGCATTAATATTGTGAGTCTTAGAAAAGAACTTGAAATACTAGCATTCCTCTTTCTTTGACTATGTGTTTTTGTGTGTGAGGGGTTTTTCGGATATAGGGAATCAAACTTGGGACATTGCACTTGCCAGGCAGGCACTGTGCCACTGAGCTACATCACTAACCCTGTGTGCGTGTGTGTGTGTGTGTGTTGTCGTCTTTTTAGTTTTGTTGTTTCCATATTGAGGATTAAACCCAGGGGCACACACATACCAGGCAAGCAAGTACTCTTGAGCTATACCCCTAGCCTGATCCACTTGAATTTTATTATTCTGCATTATTATTAAATTGCTCCTTGTGAGAAAAGGACAGAATGATAAAACACATACTTTAAGACCAAAGGAAACCAGGTATGGTGGTGTATATCTATAATCCCAGCACTTTGGAGGCTGCTGCAAGTTTAAGGCTAGTCTGGGCTACATTGACCATGTCTCCATTAATTTTTTTTTTTCTTTTTTTTTTTTTTTTTAAAGAGGATCCAGTGGAACCTTGTGGTTTAAAAGAGTCTGATGGGATTACTGTACAGTCTTTCATAATACAAACCCTCCTGTGTATCTAAATGCACTAAATTCCAATCTCTGGGGCGGAGGTCTTGGGAGTGCCAGCTCCATAGGCATCTGGGATTTCTGAGACCTTCAGGATTGAAAGCTTTCAGTACAATTTCTCTACAATTAGACAACAGAGATCTTAAAGTGTGCTTACTCAAATGAGGAGACCTAGAATTAAGGAATTTTTTTCATTTTGAGATGCTTCCCATAGTATCCAGATTTTGGATCATATCCCCTTCCCTTTTTTTGAGCTAGGATCTTGCTATGTTGTGCAGGTTGGTCTCTTATTTATTTATTTATTTAGTGCAGGGTCTCTCT